TTTAAATGCCTTGCCATGTCCTCAATCCTCATTGCATTTGCATGCCGACATTATAATTAATACGGTTTTCCCCTGAGATTATTAAATGTCTTGCACGTGCCAGATAACACGGAATATTGTTTAGGTGTAATATTTCACATCTCTTGAAAGTTGATTTCTCACCTCGGTAACGAATGCTAGTGTTTTCATGAGTTGCTCATGGTGGATATGCATCCTAAAGTTTCAAATGCTGTAAAATATGATAGTATGAATATTTCTCTAGAAGGGTCATCTTTTAGAAATTCGTGGCAGGGCGAAATTGGCAAGAAATTTGCGAAGCAATTTAGACGATGCTAGACGCATTTGACATGCTATGGCCTTTCGACGACTTGAGCCGCATAATAACACCGTTTCTAGCGATCTCGTCTGCGTTGTGTGTTTCGGATATTAAACATGTTTATATCGTTAGTTCTTCAGAAAAGCGCAACAAATGATATTATGTCATCAACATATCAATTTCTTACTCCTCGAAAGCGTAAATTTACGGATACCAAAGTTGTTGTATTCACGGAAGGATAAAATTAACACAGCCGGGCAGTGCGCGAAATTAGACAGTTCAACTTTGCGCGAGTTATTTATCGCAGTCTCGCGACGTGGAAATAAGTTGAGCGCATGAAATTACTTTTGAATACATTCTCCAGGATGGTCATCGATCAAATTTTTAAGTTTTTAATTATAAAGGTAACAAAATAAGATTTTAAACGAGCTTTGCGATCTATCCGACCGCTGACCATTCCCTTTGTCAGAAAAAACAGTGATCTTTCAGAAGCCACCATGGACGAACGGAACGGAATAATGTTTTCATTTTCCATCATGTATTAAGGAATATGACAAGAAAAAATGGTCTTTCAAAAGAATTGAATATCCATCGGTAGTTAAGCGTCCAAAGCAGTTTGTTTACAAACCAGTCGTTCCAGCTCCAGATTGAAATTGTATCTGGAGCTGGCTCCAGATTCGCCAATCTGGAGCTGCCAATCTGGAGCTGTCTGGCTCGTCATTGAGAATCCGCACGGCCGAAAAACACCCGTTTCGCAAGAATCTAGCTAGTATAATAACTATGAGATTGGTCGGGAGGCGCAGTATCATATACTTGCCACTGCCTCGTACCATAGACAATCCAGAAGACAGGGACTGGAAACGCCTAATGTTTTGCGCGTGCCATCCGTGATGTGCTTGCGTGACGCTTGTGCCAATCATGCCATGCCATGTGAGTGAATTACTGAATGGCGCCTGTTGCTTCGAAAAAGAATAAAGCGATAGATTGTGGACCGGTACTTGTCTGCTGTTTTACAGCTCTTTATATACTGGAAAATTGTTTAAATAATCTACACCGAAAAGGGAGTTAGGTAGATCACATTGTGTGTAAAGTTTATAAAACGGATCTGCTAATATTCAGAGACGAGTGCAGAGAATTTTCCGCGAGCTTGTTCAAAATTTTGATTTCCAATTTGTGGTGGACTTTCAGGCACGATTCAGGTTTGTTTGCATATTTTAGTTTACTCTATTTAAGTTTACGTATAGTTATTCAATTTTGCTTCACTGTAATTACGTTATATAAATTGATTGAAGTTATCTTTTCCAAGTTTTCCTTGATCTACATTTTAAAATTTGAATTTGGCAATTTCGGTTTTTAAATTAATATACCTTCCATTTTTAATATTGACAACAAATCCTTTCTTTCTCGAAAATCCTTTTTGCTAAGGCATCCATTATTTAAAAGAAATAAAAACAAGGTTTCAGTTATTTTAACGGTGAGTTTTGCATGTTTAACACTCTTAACTTTCGACAATGCCAACAAGAATGCCAATGGCAATGACGACTTTTTTGCTGTCAAAAACATCACGCAATCATTAAAAGGTGGTTTTTGCTTTTGTTTGACCCAATATAAGTTTAAAAACCGGAGAAATGCATCCACATGTCTATATTTGTTTTAAATATGTAAATTGCAAACCCTGAACTTTATTTAAACTGTAGTTGCAGGGTTCGAAGTTAGGCGGTACAAACTTTGCCGCACAAAAACATTACGCAAGCATTCAAAGGACGTTTTTGGCTTTGTTTGACCCGATATAAGTTTCAAAACGGGACAAGTGCATCCACAGGTCTATTTTTGTTCAAAATATGTAAATTACAAACTCTGAACTTTATTTAGTTAAACTATAGCTACAGGGTTCAAAGTGGGGGCAACAGAAATGGCCATCTTCTAGTTGGCGCAAAAGTAATTTTGGCCGTCAAATTTTCAGTAAACATTTTTGGGCGAATAAGTTACCAAATTGATATAAAAAATAGCCTATTCGATAGATTACAATCTTGTGATTACACATACTTTGACCAAAAGGTACAAAAATCGTTTATTTTTCAGTTGCAGGGTTAGTTTTGCCAGCGAGTTTTCAGAATAATATGACGATAACAATTGCCGGCGAACAACATTCGTAATTCTGTCAATCAAATTCAGTAAACATTTTTGGCTGAATATGATACCAAATTGATATAAAAAATAGCCTATTCGATGGATTACAATCTTGTGATTACACATACTTTGACCACAAAATACAAAAATAGTTTATTTTTCAGTTGCAGGGTTAGTTTTGCCAGCGAGTTTTCAGAATAATATGACGATAACAATTGCCGACGAACAACATTCGTAATTCTGTCAATCAAATTCAGTAAACATTTTTGGCTGAATATGATACCAAATTGATATAAAAAATAGCCTATTCGATAGATTACAATCTTGTGATTTCAAATGGCTTCATCATCAAAGACAACACAGGTTAAGTTTGTAGTTACAGGGTTAGTTTTGGCAGTATTTTCTGGAAATAATTGCTGCGTACGCGATTTACCGATAGCACGATCCAAATTTTTGCATTTAGCGTCACTATAAAATAGAAATAAATGAAAATTTGGACGTATCTACCTTTATTAGTATAGCCGCTCCACGACTACGATCCCAAAATTCAGATAATACGCTTTTTTTACGATATATTTTGCATAAACTACACGCACTTGCTTTTGTTTTTATGTAAATTTAAAGACTTGTTACCGTGGTAACCAAGTAATTGCTACGTGACAGGCACATCACGGATGTCACGATTTGTCATCATATTCTAGCTTGCGTTTCCAGTCCC